GGGCGGAACGGTGAGGGCGGAACGGTGAGAGTCGGAGTGGTGAGGGTGTAACGGTGACGCACGGAACGGTGAGGGGTGGACTGGTGAGGGCGTAACGGTGAGGGGCGGAACGGTGAGGGCGGCACGGTGAGAGTCGGAGTGGTAAGGGTGTAACGGTGAGGGCGGAACGGTGACGGACGGAACGGCCGCCTCCGGTGCTCGGCAGCCTCCCGGCGAGCCCCTCCCTCTCCAATCGTACTTGTGTGGAGTTAATGCGCCGTGGTGGATGTAATTATGTCGCAATTGGATTTTCTGCCGGGGTTCATTTTACTTCTCTGTCTCTCTCCTCTCTCTCTCTCGCTGTCCCATTGTTTATTTTCGTTCTGCGTGGGATTAAAGCGGGAGGTCGGCGCTTGCCCACGCTACGCACCGCTACGCTACGCAAGCTACGCACGCTACGCCGCTCGTGCGTCCCAGCGGCTCATGGGGGGGTTTGGGGGGTGGTGGTGGGGGAGGTGGAGGGGTGGTGGGGAGGGGGCTGTGAGGAACGTCAGAATGTGAGCTGCCGCATTCCTGCCCCTAATTACGGGAGGTGTCAGGCGTGTGATGGGGCTGGACCTTGCCCACGCTCGCGTTCGGCGGCTCTGCGCTGACCGGAGCTGACAGCGGAGAGCTGAAATCAGCGCGCACACGTATCGCCTCTCATGGCACTCTCCCCCCGCTCGCTCGCTCGCTCACCTACCCACCCAGCCTACCTCTCACTCGCTCGCTCACTCGCTGACTTTCCCTCCTTTCAAGTCAATTAAAAGCTCGGTAATGGCTCAGGAGCTGCTGGGTAGCTGACCCCATCACCCGCACCTCCCCCCTCCTCCTCTCCCCTCCTCCTCATCCTCGTCGTCGTCGTCTGCCAATCAGCCCAGGCACTAAAGCCACACATGGGGACAGGAAGGTGCACAGTGAAGGGTGGTGAGTGTGGGGTGGTGAGTGCGGGGTGTGGGGTGGGGGGTGTGGGGTAGTGAGTGCGGGGTGTGGGGTGGGGGGTGTGGGGTGCAGCGTGCGGGGTGCAAGGTGGAGGGAGCGGGACGAATCCACTAACGATTCTTGAATTGTGACCTTGAATCGTTGCAATTCTTGGAATCGTCAGAGGGGTGCGGGCCCCAGGCCCTTGTCGCGAGATGACTCCACGGGGAGGCGACCGCTCCGTTCCAAGGCACCGTTCCACGCCAGCGGTGTCGCAGCTTCTGCCGTGGCCTTGAGGCCGCATTGTCGCCACCAGAGCGCGGTACAATATATACACGCTCGTGTGTTCCCCCAGCTGATGAGTAGCCCTGGGTCAGGGGTTGAGGATCAGGTGAGGCTCTACGTTGGTGAGGATGGGACCAGACCCGTGTGGCTCAGACGTCAGAGCCAGTGGGCACCGTTGAGACCCTGGGTACCGGCCACTGCCTGTGATCGAACCGGGTTCTCACGTTCAGCGAATTGATGGTCTCAGCCTGGTCACTGACGACTGCACAAATAAAATCCATCACAAGAAATTTGATTCCGTTGTTAATCTCGCCACATTTTCAGCTCTGTTGTCTTTTGCGAGGCCGGTGGGCAGTGCTGCCCCTTGGATGCGTGTGGACAGAGGCCACTCGAAGGCCTCTCAGAGACAGCTCGGTGATATCCGCGGGCCGTTCTCCAGCGTGAAGGAGGGTGGGTCGGCCCTGCCCGGTAGCAGGCGACCAGGCCACAGGCGACTAGGTAGCAGGCGACCAGCAGGCGATCTGCAGGCGACCAGCAGGCGACTAGCCAGCAGGCGACCAGGCCACGGAGTCGTCAGCTCACCACCGGGTCACTTGCTCAGCGCTCAGAGTTATTTTTGGGAGCGTGTTCAGAGTCGGAGGGCGACTGGGGGAAGGTGAAGGGTTTGTGGGGGTGAAGCGGGGGGGGGTGGGGTGGGTGGAGGGGCGCGTTCAAAGCGCGGCAACGCTAGCGGGCGGGCGAGGGCACGGGACGAGGGGGGTGGAGCGTGCGGCCGCGACGGGAATGCGAACTCGGGAGGAGGGAGGCGCGGAGGGCAGGGCAGGAAATGGGTCCTGAAGGCTGCTAAGTGGAGGACCCATGTGGAGATGATTTGTCCGCGCTCTGCGCGTCGCCTGCGCGGCGATCGCAGCCGTGGGCCGTTACCACGCTCCGCAGCGCGTGCGTGTGTTTGTGCGTGTATGTGCATGTGTGTACATGCGTGTGTTTGTGTGTGCGTGTGTGCATGCGTGTGCACGTTATTGACCTGGTCAAGGCCTATGATACCATCAGAAGGCCTGGGCTCTGGGTTGTTCTTCGTGCTTTCGGAGTCCCTGACCCGCTGCTCACGATCATTAAGGACCTTCATGATGGTGAGCGGGCCCGGGTAAAACTACGTGGCCGGGAGTCAGAGCCATTCCCCGTTCACTTTGGGGTGCAACAGGGATGTCCTCTGGCTCCCACATCATCTTAACATCTATTTCGATCTCGTAGTTCGTGAAGCCTTTAATAGCTGTACCGTAGGAATTTCCATCTGGTACAGATACAATGGGAGGCTGATCGATGCCCGGGTGCGGTCAAGGGATGGCTATTGCTCAACCAAGTTATGTATGCCGATGACTTGGTAATTGCTGCTCACTCAGAGGAGGAGTTGGAGGCGCTGCTGCTGAACCTGGAGCTTGCCACTAAGAGGTGGGGACTTACTATCAGCCCCACCAAAAACTAAGCACCTGCCTGGGTATTTATGCTATCGGACGCTCCACCCCCACAACTCCTAATCGGTGATGGGGCAGTTGTGGAGAGAGTGGAGAGTTTCCCATACCTTGGCAGTGTGCTCATGACCGGCTCCGGTTTGACAGCAGAGATCGCACTCCGAATCAGTCGAGCGGCATTATCTTTTCATCGGTTGCGTAACGCTGTGTGGAAGCTACCTGGTCTGTCTATCCGCATGAAGCTTCAGGTCTTCTCGGCCACAGTAATTCCCTCCCTTCTCTACTCTTGCGAAACATTGACCCCCCTAGTGGAACATCTTCGCTGGTTAGAAACATTTAGGCTGGCCTGCCAACGATCCATCTTGGGTTTAAGCAGGCTGGATTGTGTGAGGAGCTCACATATCCTTGAAAGATCTGGACAAAGCCCCATCGGTGAGCTCCTCCAGCAGGCAAGGCTGCATTGGCCTGGGTCATGTAGCCCGCATGCCCAGCCACCACATGCCTAAACAGCTTTTATTCGGCCGGATCGAGGGGGCTAAACGGGCGCGGCACGGGCTAGAGAAGAGATGGAGTGATGTGGTACAGGAGGACGTGGAGCTGAGTGGACTTGCCGATGACTGGTACCAGCGGTGTCAAGATCGGCCTCTGTGGAGGAGGCTCGTGAAGGACGCTACTGGCCAGTTGGAGGCAGTCGCCCTCCAACAACAACGGAGGGTGGAGGAGCGACGCTCACAACAACGAGCGGAGCGCCGGGTGGCTAAGGCACAGCAAGTTGGCACAGTAGGGAGCACAGGTGCTGCATCAGCCAGCCATCTCAGTCAGTCGACCTGTGGCACCTGGGCCTGCCCCTCACCTGCCAGCGGGCGTTTGATACATCACGTGGCCTTAACTTTCACATAGCCTGGCACAAGCGTCGTGGTGACGTTACCGCCACTTAGTGGTGAATGGCGGTTGTTGTTGTGTACGTGCGTGCGTGTGTGCATGCGTGCGTCTGTGTATGTGTGTGTGCGTCTGTGTGTGTGCGTGCGTCTGTGTATGTGTGTGTGCGTGCGTCTGTGTATGTGTGTGTGTGCGTCTGTGTATGTGTGTGTGCGTGCGTCTGTGTATGTGTGCGTGCGTCTGTGTATGTGTGTGTGCGTCTGTGTATGTGTGTGTGCGTGCGTCTGTGTATGTGTGTGTGCGTCTGTGTATGTGTGTGTGCGTGCGTCTGTGTATGTGTGTGTGTGTGCGTGCGTCTGTGTATGTGTGCGTGCGTCTGTGTATGTGTGTGTGCGTGCGTCTGTGTATGTGTGCGTGCGTCTGTGTATGTGTGTGTGCGTCTGTGTATGTGTGTGTGCGTGCGTCTGTGTATGTGTGTGTGCGTCTGTGTATGTGTGTGTGCGTGCGTCTGTGTATGTGTGTGTGTGCGTGCGTCTGTGTATGTGTGTGTGCGTGCGTCTGTGTATGTGTGCGTGCGTCTGTGTGTGTGTGTGCGTGCGTCTGTGTATGTGTGTGTGTGCGTCTGTGTATGTGTGTGTGCGTCTGTGTATGTGTGTGCGTCTGTGTATGTGTGTGTGCGTGCGTCTGTGTATGTGCGTGCATCTGTGTATGTGTGTGTGCGTCTGTGTATGTGTGCGTGCGTCTGTGTATGTGTATGTGTGTGCGTCTGTGTATGTGTGCGTGCGTCTGTTTATGTGTGTGTGCGTGCGCTCGCTCGCTCGGAACGTTCGGCTTGGCAGGGGGCTCGGGGCGCGAGCGGTGGGGGGCGCATCGAGTAGCGGAATCGTCGTGAATTGTGTTGACGCTGCACTGTGGAAACCCTGCAGCCACTGGAGGCGCTACACTCGCCACAGTGGCAAAACTCGCATTTGATTCTTGCTTCAACTTGCGGGTGAATCGTTCCCCAACGTGACTATAACTACGATGTTATACATCGGAGGATCGGCGGGTCGCGGGTACACACGTGGAGTCGCGAGCCTAGGGTCGAGGCTGGTGTGTTCTCATCAGCAGGCCGCTCGAGGGGCTGCCAAGGTTAAGAGGAGAATCTCAGGTCTCGCAAGCCAAGCAAGTGTTGAGCCTCGATAGCACCTGAACTAGTGACCACTTTGCTTAAGGGGCGCTATAGGCTGCTGCGTAGCTACGCTGCCAGCAGAGGGCAGCGCGATCCACGGTGACACAGCACCTCGTTGATCCCCTTCGCCTTCCGCACGGATCCCTGTAACCCCCCCCCCCCCCCCGCGATACGCACAGCTCACCTAGGCCACCGCGACGACGCGAGTTGACGTCCCTCTCGTTTCGTCTCCCCCCCCCCCCTCCACACCTCGGCAGATGATGGGAATTCTGGGCAACCCGTCGGCCATGCCCCCGCAGCACGGGCAGGAGTACTCGCTGTCCCCGCTGCCCTCCTCCGGCCTCGTCGACCACTCCTCGGGCCTCTCCGCCAGCTGCAGCCAACGCGGCGGCGGCGGCGGCGACGGGATGAAGCACGGCGACGGCCTGCCGCCCTCCCAGGCCTACTGCCCCGCCACCTACGCCGCGGCCGGATACGGGCTCGAACCCATGCCCGCCGCCTACCAGTACGGCCAGTACGGACAGAGTAGGTACTGCCACCACTACCACCACCGTTGTCACTACCACCACCGCTGTCACTGCCACCACTACCACCAGCGCTGTCACTACCACCACCGCTGTCACTGCCACCACTACCACCATCGTTGTCACTACCACCACCGCTGTCACTGCCACCACTCCCACCACCGCGGTCACTGCCCCCACTACCACCACCGCTGTCACTGCCACCACTACCACCACCGCTGTCACTGCCACCACCGCTGTCACTGCCACCACTACCACCACCGTTGTCACTGCCACCACTACCACCACCGCTGTCACTGCCACCACCGCTGTCACTGCCACCACTACCACCAGCGCTGTCACTGCCACCACTACCACCACCGCTGTCACTGCCACCACTACCACCACCGCTGTCACTGCCACCACTACCACCACCGCTGTCACTGCCACCACTACCACCACCGCTGTCACTGCCACCACTACCACCACCGTTGTCACTGCCACCACTACCACCACCGCTGTCACTGCCACCACTACCACCACCGTTGTCACTGCCACCACTACCACCACCGCTGTCACTGCCACCACTACCACCACCGCTGTCACTGCCACCACTACCACCACCGCTGTCACTGCCACCACTACCACCACCGCTGTCACTGCCACCACCGCTGTCACTGCCACCACTACCACCACCGTTGTCACTGCCACCACTACCACCACCGCTGTCACTGCCACCACCGTTGTCACTGCACCACTACCACCACCGCTGTCACTGCCACCACCGCTGTCACTGCCACCACTACCACCAGCGCTGTCACTGCCACCACTACCACCAGCGTTGTCACTGCCACCACTACCACCACCGCTGTCACTGCCACCACTACCACCACCGTTGTCACTGCCACCACTACCACCACCGCTGTCACTGCCACCACTACCACCACGCTGTCACTACCACCACCGCTGTCACTGCCACCACTACCACCACCGCTGTCACTGCCACCACTACCACCACCGCTGTCACTGCCACCACCGTTGTCACTGCCACCACTACCACCAGCGTTGTCACTGCCACCACTACCACCACCGCTGTCACTGCCACCACTACCACCACCGCTGTCCACTGCCACCCCTACCACACCGCTGTCACTGCCACCACTGGCCGCTGATGCTGCCGCTGCCGCACATGACGAGGGCGGCAGCGTGCGTTGTGTGTTTGTCTATGTGTGTCTGTATGTGTGTGTCTGTGTGTGTGTGTCTGTGTGTGTGTGTCTGTACGTGTCTGTGTGTCTGTGTGTCTGTGTCTGTGTGTGTCTGTTGTGTCTGTGTGTGTGTGTCTGTGCGTGTCTGTGTGTGTGTCTGTGTATCTGTGTGTGTGTGTCTGTGTCTGTGTGTGTGTCTGTGTGTGTGTCTGTCTGTGCGTGTGTGTCTGTGAGTGTGTCTGTGCGTGTCTGTGTGTGTCTGTGTGTGTGCGTGTCTGTGTGTGGGGAGTGGTGGTGCAAGGGTTAGCGCGTTGTGCTGCGAACCCGGCGACCCGAGTTCGATTCCCGCTCACGGCCAGTACGAGGGCCTCCCCAAGATCGACTCAGCCTCAAATGAGTACCTTGTGGGGTGTGTAAACATCGTCACTGGGGAGACAAAGGCGGTCGGGCGTGGCGCTGGCCACCCCATCCCCCCATTTGCCATGCCGGCCTTCATAGGTGCTCGCTAAGAGCACTTGCTCCAAGAGTCTGTTAAAGGGTTTATATGGAGGACATTTGTCTTTGTGTAGGTGAGTAGAGAAATGTGTGTATGAGCTGAGTCTCCGGTGTGTGTTTGAGATTCGGCCACGGCTAACATCAGTTGCAAGTTAAATCCTAACCAGTTCTGAGTCTCCCTTGGGTAAACTGAGCCTTAAATGAATACCTGCTGTGCTGTGTAAACATTAGCACAAGGGTGACGAAGGTGACGGGACACGGTGCTGCCCACACCACCCTCTCGTAGGTGCTCGCTACCAGCACGTGCCGTAAAGAGGGGATGGTTGCGTGTGTGGGGAGCGGTCAATGTGGTTCCCGCACCATGGCCAGGGGGGCATGCCGTGGCCACCCCCTCGGCCTTTTCTCCAGCGGCTCGGCCTAAACGATCGGACCGTGGAGACAAAGGGGGCCAGGCGTGTGCCTGCGCTGCCTCCACTTAGCCCCCGTGTATGCTGCCACCCTTAAGGGGCGCTCGCTAACATTGCTTTGCCCCAACAGGATACAAAAAGGGCTTAACTCAGGCCCCGTTATCTCTTGGCGTCGATGATATTGTTTTGCTCGGACGCGAATTCGTAGCCTCACCTCTTCATCCCACAGGCACCTCGGTGCTACCAGCGGTAATTTGTCCCTGCAACTACGATAATGAATAAGAACGTTGTGGGCTCCGGAACTCTGCTTCCTCGGTGATTCGCTTGCAATGAACCAAGCTGTGAAGAATTTTTTCGACAATAAAAGTCGCATAAGCAAACCGATAAATATATTTTTAATAATTTGACAAAATAAATAGATTTCGCTCCTGAGCGCCGACGATAGCAGCGACAGTTGTAATAATAAGAATAATAAAAGCGCAACAAAAACCTCTCCCTTTCTCCCGATAAAGAAGAAAGGTTTTGTTAAGAGGGCTATTTTTCAGGCCCTGTAACCTTGTGAACCCGTCCTATAAGATCACTTCCAACCCCGGCAGCGTGGGCCTCTCCTCTCCCCTCCTCTCCCTTCGCTCGCCCAGTGATGTCACTCACCCCCTCGCGACCCCCGGGCAGCCCGGGGAGCCGAGGTCAGGGGGTCGCGTGGGGCGCACAAAGGCCCTGAAAAGGGGGCGGCCCCCTGCGGAGCGTGGGCCGAGGTGGAGGCCACGGGAGGGGGCGTGTTTAATGAACTCTTGGAGGAGTAGTTTATCAGGCCTAACGGAGCGCCACAGGAGCCGCCGCTTCCTACTGATGCATTGTGCCCGCCGCGCCACAGGTCAATTAATAATTGGCCTCCTCGTGGGGTTTAAACTGGCTTAACTTTTCTTTCTTCACAGTTAGGTAAACATTTTTTATCAACAAAAAGAGAAAGAAATATAGAGCTTTACTCTTTTCGCGGCTAAGTTCACGGGCTCGTTCCTCTCTGCCCCCGCCGTCTCTCTGCTTAATTCCCGACCTCAAAGAGCTCCTTCTGCAGTAATTCCTTAAATAGCCGAGCGTCGAGTTTGTTTTTGAAAGGCTCGGCGCTGGGGACTGCGAAATCCCAGCATCTGTGCGCGCCCGCCGCGGCGGCCGTGCGGCCCGGCTTCATGACGAGACCGCCGCCCCCACCGCCCCCACCGCCCCCACCGGCCACCTCGTGTTTTTTTTTAAGAAACCACAGCTCTCAAAACTTATTTTGCATTCCTGTGTTTCACATTTAATTTCCTTAGTCACAAGGACTCGAAACAGCGGTGAACCTTTTAGCCACAAATGCCATCCCCGCGTTCATCTTTACCCCAAAATCCCCCGCGCATTTCTCCTCGAGACTAATGCGTGGGTAATGTTTCATAGTTTTGTAAATTAATTTACGCGGGGTCCTTTTTATTAAAATATTTTCCCCTCTCTCCCCACACCCCCCCACCTCCCTGGCTTCTGTTCCGCAGCTGCCGCTGACTACTTGGCCAAGAACGTGGGCCTGGGCGGCCAGAGGCGGCTCAAGCTCGGCGAGCACTCGGCCGTGCTGGGACTGCTGCAGGTGGCGGAGACGGGGCAGGCCTACTAGACGAGGCCATCCGCTGCCACCCCTCGCCGGCACCTCATCCGCCCCAACCCGCTCCTCCTCGCTCCCTCGCTCGCTCGTTCGCTCGCTCGCCCGGCCCCCGCACGCCTCCGTGCCGCTCGCCCATTAACTCGTCCGCCGGGGAGCCGCGCGCGAGGACGCCGCTCCGGGCTGCTCCCTCCGAGTTCCTCGGTTCTTTTTGTCGTCGGTGTTTTTGATTCGTCCATTCCTGCCGTGTCATCGGGCAACGTTTAGCAGAGGCGCCGGCGCGGGCCGCCCTCCCCGAAGCACCTGAGTGACGGCCTTGTCTCGGCGGCGCACAGGTGCCCATTCCAGTTCGCAAGCCGCGTGCATTTTATGAACAATTCAGACATTCCCAACCACGGCGTCTCTCCAGTGAGCGTGGGGCGGTGTGCTCTTCTCTGCCGATGGCTTTGAGCCGTTGGTGGAAATTCCACATTCCCGGGGCAGGTCCTGGTCTATCGAAATGGTGACCAATTATTAACTTCCCACAAAATCAATGCAGAACGTAACGCAGCTTCTTTACCCCAGAGCAGTCCCCGGAAACTGCCGGACCAAACGTGGGCGACCGACGCCACCACCGCCACTGCCCACGTGGGCGACCGACGCCGGGCGCTGCAAACCACTCCCCCCCACGGCGTTCAGTCGACCGCACGCCACCCCGGGGGAACTCGGCGACGCGCCTGCGGGCGTAGAGAACTCATGGGTCCCCACCCTGCCACTACCACCTGTGATGATGATGATGGCGATGGTATTGGCTCGTTGGACAAATAATGACAAGGACAGCCGACGCTCTGTGCCGAGAGGGCGAGATGCTATCCGTGTTACCGAATAGCAAAAGAAAACGGAAGCAAACATTTACGGAAAAAAAATGTTTAAACAAAAAGTTGCTCGATATGATGGCTCAACGCAGTTGGAGATTTGCATCAACAGTTTGAGAATGAAAGAGGGCCTTGAGAAGATTTTTTTTTTTTAGACGAACATAGCTGAAGGCGCCACCGCGTGAATCGGCGTGAAATAGTCGCCGAGGCGGCTGCACCGCGTCGCCAGAGGAGGAGCCTCATCAGAATAATTCCCATTACACACCTCCTCTTATCGCTTCTGCGCCATCGGGCGGGCGGGCGTGCACCACGTCTGAAATACTGAACGCCTGTCGAGCGAGCGTCGCCTGGAAATGGAACTTTCGGCGAGCGGCCACAGACCGCCTTCGCCGCGTCACGGCCGGCCGGCCGGCTGGCCTGTAGTCGGCGCTCACGGCGTGCGCCGCCTCTCCCGCGGACCAAGCCCTGGACTAACTTCTCAGCCAGCCTCGTCGCACGCCGGCCAATTTGGTTGAGAGTTGTTTTTCCACTCGCGTCGCTTAACGCTTGCGCGCCATTGCCGATGTAATGTGTTTGGCCGTGTCGGGTGGCGGGAGGGCCTTTTGACACGAATTTGTGCAAACATTTATTCTGTATTGGCTCCAACAACAAAAAAATTAACCCTTGCTTAAACGCGTAATAAGGTTCAACGCGGCGTTACCGGCGCCACATCTCGGTACAAATCAGTTTCCTGCCGCCCGACGGACGGTGCCAATTCGCGGGTTGTCCGTGTCGACCCTGGATGGGTGGCGGACCGAGTTCACGCCCTCCCCGCAGCGTCCATGATCTTCTCGCTGCCGGTTTCCTTTCCCGATCGCCGACCAAATTGGGGTGTCGTTTGGGAGCGAGCTTGGGGGTTTTTATTCTGGCCACGATTCTGACCGCGCCACACAGCGCGCAGGTTTCGCTCACCGGGAGAGAGCGGTGGGCACGTCGTTACCTCGTTAACCCTAACGAGGTAACGAAATAACGACGAGCGGGCGGCCCGGCTGTCGGAATGCGTGGAGGTGGGAGAGAGAGACGCACCGGGAACCGGGCGCTCCGCTCTGCATCGCTCGGCGGGGTGCGAGACGTGGAGCTGTTCAGCTTTTTCATTCCATTTACCGAGCGTCCAATATTTTATACGCTGTGTGTGTGTACGTGTGAGCACGCGTGTATATACACAGTGCGTATATATGTATGTGTATGTACATATGTGTACAGCATATGCGTACGTGTGTACATGTGCGTCTGTGTACAGTATATCTACACACGCGCGCATGGCCAAGGTGCCAATGTGGTATGTTACGAACGTATTAACATTGGTGGTGCAGCAACAACAACAAAAAACGTCGTTTGAGAAAATCACAAAAAAATCATCAGAATTTTTCTCCTCGGACGGCCGCCTGCGGTGGCGTGGCCCCGAGTGGGCCAACATCGCCACTGTCATGGAGCATCCCAGGGAGTTCCCCTCCACCCCGTGGTGATTCGCGCTGTTCCATTCTGGAGTGGGGGAGGGCGGAGGCCAGCGTGATCCGGGTCTGGTTTACTGACTCATCTCGTGTTGGGTGTGCTCGGGTTCAGAGGAATTTAATGGAACGAGATCCAAAATGACTTCTGCCTTGGTGAATGGGGGAGCGTGTTGTTTTTATTTGTTAGCGTTTGTATGTGCACAAAGACAAAGATCCCCCGTATAGACTTAGCAGACTGTTGGGGCAATTGCTAACTTTTGAAGGCTGGCACGGTACAAAAAGGGGTGGGTGGCCAACACCACGCCCGGGTTACTTTGTCTCCATTCGTGGCGACCTCGGAGAGGTGCAGAACCGGTCCAGATAATCGTCACGGGTGTTGGCCGTGAGCGGGAATCAAACTCGGGTTGCCAGGTTCGATGTGCAGTGCGCTACGGCCAACACCGGTGACAATTATATGAACCGATCCTGGACCTCCCCAAAGTCGATTCAGCCTGATACGAGATCAGAGATCAAATCAAGACGGATACGAGTACCTGGTGCGGTGTGTTAAAACATCAGCGCTGGGGAGACAAAGGCGGCCGGGCCTGATGCGAGCCAACCCAACCCCTCGTGTGCCGTGCCGGCATTCATAAGTGTCGCTCGCTAACAGCACTTGCCCCCAACAGTCTCCTGAGGCCATACAGGGGATTTTTCTCTGTGTCTGTACGTACACGCGTGCGCGTTCGTCTGTTGGAAGTCAACGCGAAGCTGCCCACTTCGCCAGCGGCCGAGCGGCGACATCCCTCCTCCCTCGTGGCACCCGCCGGCTCTTGTGAGATATATAAATAAAGACATCACTGGTTCTAATTCCTTACGGAACCTTTGGAGTTCCGCTGTCGAAACCGCAGCGAGACAACGTGAACCTGTATTTCCATTTGTTACAAAATTATTACCAATTTTGGATTATGATATTATTATTGTAAAAGTTCCTTTGATGCGGTTAGCAACAGCTTTTAGAATGTATAGAGGCGTTACTTTGCAAATGTACAACAATGTTGTTGTTCCGTGGGACTTGGTGGTGTGTCCACACGCTGTGTGTGCCGGAACGTACAGGAGGAGCGAGGTGGGTGAATCCCCCCATCCGAACTCTGCCGCAGTCCCACGTGCGGTAGCGAGACACACGGCCCGTGATGTCTCGTCCCCCCCCCCGCCTGCGCGCGTGCGCGTGTGTGCTGTTCTTTTATATTTGTTTTGCTCGTATTGTCCACTCCCGAGACGCGGCAAACGACCTTGGTGACACTGTAAAAGTTGTAAGTAAATATACTGTATTAAACGAAGACAAACACTCCACACGCGTGACGTCTTTCGGCATACCACAGGGCGATGCCGATGCCCATCCTACTACGCCCGTGTGGGGGTGATTTCGGGGGGGCTTATTTAAGAGTGATTAGTGGCTGCGATGGACATGGACCATGCCGGTTATTATTTGAGTGTTTTTCTTTGACCGTTTGTACCGAGGTGAGACCGCCGCCCCCCGTGCCCCCCCCTGCCCCCCAGTGCCCCCCCCCCGTGCCCCCCGCGACACAAGAGCAGTGATTCCGCCTCGCTCTTTGGCGTCATCCAAACGGAATCCCACCGATCCCGGCTCCACGTGCCCCCCCCCCCCCACTGCCCTCTACCCCCCCCCCCCATAATCCCCCCGCCCCCCTCCCCCCGCGCCGTGCCTGTACATATATGTCCCTGTAATTTATTCCGTGTTGCTAGATGGTGTGTATAGCAAGCTGCACTTGCATCCCGGCTCCGCCGTCCGTCCGTGCGCCCCCCCGGTCTTGCCCTACCCCCTCCTCCCCGCCGCTGGTGGCTGCTGCCGCTGCCGCTCTCGCGACGACATCACGGGGGGTGTGGGGGGGGGCTCCACCCCGGGACCCCCCCACACCCCACGCCTCTGTTTCTCTGTAAGCTCCCCCCTCCCCTCCCGCCCTGTCCACCACCCCTATCCGCGTTCACAAATAAAAACCAAGTCTTAAGCATCGACCAAGTCGAGTCTCTCTTGGGCTGTTTTGTTCTTGTTGTGGTTCTAATCGAGTGTCTCCTCGCATCATCGTTTACATCTGCAAGGAGCGCCTCATCCGTAGGTCCCAATGGGGAATCGCAGAACGCCTCGAGCCCTCTCCCTCGCCGCGGCGAGCAGAACCTCAACATCGGTTGGCATCGCGCGCCTCAAACCTTGAACCCGTTGCAGATTCTGCAGCAGCTACTGCTGCTGCTGCCATCACGCACACGAATAGAAGTGCAGCGCGCAGTGTTCTTGTTTTTATTGCTACAGAAGTTCGTGGTTCAATGTCCGGTGGCCGTCCTGGTTAATACTGCGCTGGTGCGTTAACCGTAACAATATCACCACGCGCCTCTGCTTCACAGTGCGTCTTAAATATCCCGTGAGGTCGTCTTACACCGGTGTCGTGGTTCAGACAACTCCGCATCGCTCAATAAAAAAAATAGCTGCTCGTGATACTCAATAGCGCCCGCTACTACGCAACGCATCATCTTCGGGTGGGACTCGTGCTTACACGACTGCCGACTAAGTGTACTTAAATATTACCTTGGTTCGGTGTAAAATTCTCATGTTTATATTTGGCACTTGCAGCACAGGGCCCCGTAGCAGCGGCGCTGGGAGCTGCGTTGGGGTTGGAAAGACCCCGATACAGCCTGGACCAGACGTTTGGTGCACTTCCGATTAGCACGGCTGGCTACGTAGGTTTCCCCAGTGCTGATGTTTGCACATCACACCAGGCACTACATTTGAGGCTGAGTCGACTTAGGGGAGGCCCAGGGACCAATTCAAATATTCGCCGTGAGTGGGAACTCGGGTCGCCGGCAAAGCGAAGTGCGATAACCACTGCACCACCTCCTCCCTACCATCGACACGCGCTGTCACAGACACGCCCGCCTGTATCTACCTGCACAAGCACAGATGCCTTCTCACGCAGAGATAGACTCACCCGACCATCGTGTTGTTAGCGAGCAGATATTAAGACATATGCTGTACACACAGACACGCATATATACTGAAACAGACACAACGACACCAACTGCTCCCTTCGTGACAGCGACTTCACTACAACACGTGTGCCAGGCGATGTGCACTTTGATGCCACGTCAAATGTCAAAGGCTCGCTGCTAGCACGTGGCCACGGAACAGACCCAAGTGTTATGGGTTGACTGAACGAGATGACTGGCAATGCCAACAGACACAACAAAGACAAAGATCCTCCGTATAGCCTGAACGGACTGCTGGAGTAAGTGCTGTTAGCGAGCACCTATAAAGGCCGGCACAGCACAGGAGGCGGTGGGTGGCCAGAATCACTCCGCCGTTGTATCCCCAATGCTTTACACATCGCACCAGGTACTCATTTGAGGTTGAGTCAACCTAGGTGTGATCCAGGACCGGTTTAGATTTTCGTCACCAATATTGACCGTGAGAATCAAAGTCGGGTCGCCGGGTTCGTAGCGCAGCGCGCTAACTGCTGCACTACCGCTCCCCACACATAAACAAAGACAAAGATCCCCCGTATAACCTTAATATAGTATTGGGGCAAGTTATGTCAGTGAGTGCCGACTAAAGTCTGGCACGTCCCACGACAGGGTTGGTGTGGCTAGAAGCACGCCAAGTGCTCATGTTTACACTCGTTTAAGGCCAAGTCGACCTACGGGAGGCTCATAACCGGTGCAGATATAATTTGCCACTGACGTTAACCGTTCTCAGGAACAGAACTTCTATCGCCAGGGTTTGTCGCACGATGCACGATCGGCTACGCCACCATTCCCCACACAGTATTCAGACAGACACACAAAACCTACACGGAAAAACACACGTGCAAATACAGACACACACGTGCAAATACAGACACACACGTGCAAAAACAGACACACACGTGCAAATATAGATGCACACGTGCAAATATAGACACACGCGTGCAAATACAGACACGTGCAAATATAGACACACACGTGCAAATATAGACACACGTGCAAATACAGACACATGCGTGCAAATATAGACACACACGTGCAAATATAGATGCACACGTGCAAATATAGACACACGCGTGCAAATACAGACACACGTGCAAATATAGACACACGCGTGCAAATATAGACACACACGTGCAAATATAGACACACGTGCAAATACAGACACATGCGTGCAAATATAGACACACGCGTGCAAATATAGACACACGTGCAAATACAGACACATACGTGCAAATACAGACACATACGTGCAAAAACCGACACATACGTGCAAATACAGACACACGTGCAAATACAGACACACGTGCAAATACAGAAACATAGTGCAAATACAGACACACACGTGCAAATACAGACACATACGTGCAAATACAGACACATACGTGCAAATACAGACACATACGTGCAAATACAGACACATACGTGCAAATACAGACACACCCGTGCAAATATTGACATACGTGCAAATATAGACACACACGTGCAAATATAGACACATACGTGCAAATACAGACACACACGTGCAAATACAGACACATACGTGCAAATACAGACACACGTTCAAATACAGACACACACGTACAAATACAGACACACACGTGCAAATACAGACACACACGTGCAAATACAGACACACGTGCAAATATATACACACACGTGCAAATACAGACACATACGTGCAAATGTAGACATACGTGCAAATACAGACACACACGTGCAAATACAGACACACACGTGCAAATACAGACACATACGTACAAATACAGACACACGCGTGCAAATACAGACACACACGTGCAAATACAGACACACACGTGCAAATACAGACACACGTGCAAATACAGACACACACGTGCAAATACAGACACATACGTGCAAATGTAGACATACGTGCAAATACAGACACACACGTGCAAATACAGACACACACGTGCAAATACAGACACATACGTACAAATACAGACACACACGTGCAAATACAGACACACGTGCAAATATATACACACACGTGCAAATACAGACACACGTGCAAATACAGACACACGTGCAAATACAGACACATACGTGCAAATGTAGACACATACGTGCAAATACAGACACACACGTGCAAATACAGACACACACGTGCAAATACAGAGACACACGTCATGCAAATATAGACACACACGTGCAAATACAGACACACACGTGCTAATATAGACACACACGTGCAAATACAGACACACGTGCTAATATAGACACACACGTGCAAATATAGACACACACGTGCAAATACAGACACATATGTGCAAATATAGACACACACGCCATGCAAATATAGACACTTGTGCAAATACAGACACACACGTGCAAATATAGACACACACGTGCAAATATAGACACACACGTGCAAATATAGACACACACGTGCAAATATAGACACATACGTGCACATATGGAAAGCTACACAGACACACAGAAAGATTCGCATGCATATACACACAGATACGTATACAGATACAAAAGACAAAGATCCCATACTAGCCTCAACAGAATATTGGGACAAGTGCTGTTAGCGAGCATCTATAAAAGCCGGAACGGCACACGAGGGGGCGTGTGGCCAGCACCACGCCCGACCGCCTTTGTCTCCCCAGTGCTGATGTTTTTACACACGTCACCAGGTACTCATATTAGGCTGAGTCGACCTAGGGGAGGTCTAAGATCGGATCATATCATTGTCTCCGGTGTTGGCCGTGAGGGGGAATCGAACTCGGATCGCCGGGTTCGTAGCGCGGCGTGCTACCGCTACACGACCGCTCCCCACACAACCATACAAGATACAAATACACAAATACATAGACCAGGACCATCGTCAGCGCGATGTCCACGGTGGAAACTCTACACGGGCCTTTTTCTCACGAGAGGGGAGGCGAGAGGGGAGGCGAGAGAGGCCGCATCCCGGGACGCATTATTTATTTATTTTGCGCATCAACAACAAAAAACCTCACGGAGCCGAAGAGCGTCGATTTAGCAGAGCGCGAAGCAAGGATTTGACATCCACCACCATCGCCCCCCCCCTCCCCGCCCTCTATCCGCACAGCTGTTGCTGAGAGGCGCTGGCTCTGGCTTTGTGTGCTGCCAAAGAGCCCCGATTCTCCGCGCCCCCGTGAAGCAGGTGTCCCGGACACGTCGCCCCCGCGATTAGGCGGCGGGATCCGCCGGAAAGGAGAAGCCACGGCGAGGCGCGCGCCGCCGACTCGGGGGGAGCCGATTGCGGACAGCTCCGAGGTGAAATTGCCGAGACTGGAATGTCTGATTAGGGATGAGGAGCCGCAGATGACAAATTAAATTTTGCGCACGCGGCCGAGGCGGGAGGTGCGAGCCACGGGCTGGCGACGGTGGGAACTCCGCAGCCGAAATGAGGGAGAGAGTCAGAGAGAGAGACAGAGAGAGAGACAGAGAGAGAGACAGACAGAGAGACAGAGAGAGAGACAGAGAGAGAGAGAGACAGAGAGAGAGACAGAGAGAAACACAGAGAGAGAGACAGAGAGAGAGACAGACAGAGAGAGACAGAGCGAGAGAGAGACAGAGAGAGAGACAGAGAGAGACAGAGCGAGAGACAGAGATAGACAGAGAGAGACAGAGAGAGACAGAGAGACACACACACAGAGAGAGACGGAGAGAGAGACAGAGAGAGAGAGAGAGGCAGCAGGAGCTGATGGCTGATCGACACGAACGAAGATGCACTCAGACGCAAGGGCGGACAGACAGCCTCACGCACGCACGCACGCGTACTTTATAGACTCAAAGGCAAATGTCCCCTGCATAGCCTTACCGCACTGCAGAGGCAAGTGCTGTTAGCGAGCGCCAATGACTGCCGGCACGGCGCACGATGGGGTGAGTGGCCAGAACCACGCCCCCGGCCGCCTTTGTCTCCCCGGTGGCGATGTTTACACAACGCAGGCCCCTGGATAGGTTTAGATTGCAGTGGCCGGGAATCGAACACAGACCACCGGGTTCGTAGCG